TTTTTTGCCTCTCCATTTCGTCTACCTCTCTACCTACCTTACTCTTCTTACTGCTGGTGCGGTCTGTACACGGCAGATATCACCGGCCTACCTACCTATCCGTATATCATTTCTGCGGCAACACGGTAGCCAAGATGGCTGAAGGCGCTGCCACCAGCAGTGCATATGGCCGCACAGCCGTCGACGAAATCCTCAAGGAAGAGAAGCGCGAGGCGGGATCCGTGGCCAAGCTGTCGCCGGAGCATGACCACGTGCTCAAGACATTTCGGCTGCTGATTGCAGACCTGTGCGAGCAGTTTCGCGGAGGGCATCCCGGGTGAGTCGCGTTTGTGCGCGGCGTGGTTGGAGTGCGAAGAGTCACTGACACGCTGGCGTACGTAGAGGTGCAATCGGCATGGCGGCTATAGGCGTCGCGCTCTGGAAGTACGTGATGCGGTATGCGCCGCACTCGCCCGACTGGTTCAATCGCGATCGCTTTGTGCTGTCGAATGGTGCGTATGTCTGCAGAAAGCGTCAGTGAAGGAGTGCTAATGCTGCGCTGCCAGGCCACACATGCCTCTTCCAGTACACGTTCCTGCACCTCAGCGGCTACCGCGCCATGACGCTCTCGCAGCTGCAGTCGTACCACTCGGCGCGCACCGACTCCCTCTGCCCCGGCCACCCCGAGATGGAGCACGAGGGCATCGAAGTGACGACGGGGCCGCTGGGCCAAGGCGTCGCGAACGCCGTGGGCCTCGCCATGGCCGCCACCAACCTCGCCGCCACGTATAACCGGCCGGGCTTCGACGTCGTCGATAACCACACGTGGTGCATGGTCGGCGACGCGTGTCTGCAGGAGGGCATCGCGCTGGAGGCCATCTCCCTGGCGGGCCATCTGCGGCTCAGCAACCTCACTATCGTCTACGACAACAACCAGATTACTTGTGATGGGTCTGTCGACCTGACGAACAGCGAGGACGTGAAGGCCAAGATGGGTGCCTGCGGCTGGGACGTCCTAGACGTGGAAGACGGGTGCTTTGACGTCGAGGGCCTCGTCGCCGCCCTCTCCAGCGCGCGCGAAGCAAAAGCAGGCAAGCCGACCTTCATCAACGTGCGCACCGTCATCGGCGTGGGCAGCGCCGTCGCCGGCACCGCCACAGCGCACGGCGTCGCGCTGGGCAAAGACGACGTGGCGGCCATGAAGCGCGCATACGGCTTCGACCCCGCCCAGCACTTCGCCATCTCCGACGCCGTGCGCGCCTTCTTCGCCGAGTGCCCCCCGCGCGGCGAGCGCTGGGTGCGCGACTGGCAGGGCCTGCTCGACCGCTACAGCGCGGCGCATCCCGAGCTGGCGGCTGAGTTCCGTCTCCGTCGCCTCGGCCAGCTGCCCCCGGGCTGGGAAGACCTGCTCCCGACCGCCGTGCCCGCCAAGCCGACGCCCACGCGCGCCTCCTCCGGCGCCGTCCTCGCGCCCCTGGCTGCGCAAATCCCGGCCTTCATGGTCGGCACCGCAGACCTCAGCCCCAGCGTGCACATGGCATATCCAGCCAAAGTCGACTTCCAGCCCCCGTCTCTCGTCCCCACGTCCGGCCCCCCCGGCGTCTACACCGGCCGCTACATCCACTACGGCGTGCGCGAGCACGCCATGTGCGCCATCGCCAACGGGCTGGCCGCCTTTAGCCCCGGCACCTTCATCCCCGTCACGTCGTCCTTCTTCATCTTCTACCTGTACGCGGCCCCCGCGGTGCGCATGGGCGCGCTGATGCGCCTGCGCGTCGTCCACGCCGCGACGCACGACAGCATCGGCATGGGCGAGGACGGGCCGACGCACCAGCCCGTCGAGCTGGCCGCCCTGTACCGCGCCATGCCGAACGTGGCGCTGTTCCGGGTCGCGGACGCGGAGGAGGCGGCGGGCGCGTGGGCGTGCGCGCTCAGTGACAAGATGAACGAGACGCCCTCGATTGTCTCGACCAGCAGGCACGCCGTGCCCCAGCTGGCCGGCACGCGCAGAGACGCCATCCCCCGCGGCGCGTACGTCGTCAAAGAGGTCGCAGCGGGCGCGCAAGCGGACGTCACGCTCCTCGGCGTCGGCGCTGAGCTGCACATTGCGCTCGCAGCCGCCGCGGCCCTCGAACAGGACCACGGGCTCCGCGCCCGCGTCGTCAGCTTCCCCTGCGCGCGCCTCTTCGCGCAGCAAGCGCCGCAGTACCGCCGCGCCGTGCTGCAGCGCCATCAAGGCGTCCCGGCTGTGGCCGTCGAGCCGTACGTCAGCGCGGGGTGGGAGCGCTGGGCCGACGCGGCGGTTTGTATGAAGGGGTTTGGCAAGAGCTTGCCCGGCCCGGACGCGTATCGCTGGTTTGGGTTCGATGTTGGGGCTGTGGTGGAGAGGGTGAGGGGGTTTGTGGGGTTGTGGAGGGGTGAGGGTGGGGATGGGGGTAGGGGCGCGAGCGAGGGGGTGGAGGAGAGGGAGTGGGTTCGGGGCGAGTTTTTGGAGATTTAGGCTTTTAGCTGAAGGGGAGAGCGCGGCAGAATGGAGGCGTGCGGTTTTGTGTACTTTACGTGGTTCAGTGGCTCATTGCTTCACCGCTTACTACTCAGTGTAGCGTAGCGCACGCGTTCTCACCCGCCCATGAATACGCAGCATAACTACCTAGCTCTCCTCTGCCTCCACACCCAAGCTCCCTGCCAGAGCCTCATCAGCAATCACGAGCTTAGTCTCTACATCCATGGGCCTGGCGCCAAATTAAACCTAGCAACTACGACCCACTGCCCCTAGCCAGCCAGCCAACAAACAAACAAACCAACAAGCAAGCAAACCCATCCAACCACAAACCCCAACCAATAACGACGAGCATCTTCACACACCATCACCACCACCAACCACCGTTCCCACACCCTGCTCCGCCGCATCACCGCTCTTGCGCCTGAGGATAGCTATACCTTGCAGCAAAGCAGCTAGAGCACCGCTGCCGCGCACGGCTGCGCCGTCTTTTCCTAGTTGTTCTCGCAGTGTTTTGCGTGGCTGGTGCGACCGTGTTGGTTGTTGAAGACGGCATGCTGATGTGATCTGCTCTGGGTTCATCTATCTACCCGGGTATATCACTGATCAGACAGCTAAATCTTTATAATTGAGTACGGCACTACGGCCGGCGGATCGCGATGCGAGGGTGGAGATGATTCGCTGTCGACGGCGCCTTGTCGCGGCACAGCTATACCCTCGTAGTATACTCTAGGACTTGTATATGCTTTTTACTATTATCTATTTAATAAGTACTCTATAGTTATCGTAGATCCTACTTATCATATATTTAAGAGGCAAGTAAAATATCTAGTAAGGATAGGCAAGTTATCCGGTACCTTCTTCGAGGGGCTTAGACTATAGTCTCTACTTTATTATAATTCGTAAGGTATACATATATAGCAGGACTTAATTTCCTTTTCTTTCCTTCCTTGCTACTTCTTTCCCCCTCGAGTATAAAGCCTACGGGTTCATGCTCAAAAGCAGAAGAGGGGGGAATTGTAAGGCAAGGGGTACTTCCCAGTCTTCGTTTCATAGCTTCCATACAACACACCGGTAATCCCCTCCGCACCAACAACACAGAGGAAAGATCCGATGGTGGTTACACTAGTGCACTGTTAGTAACACCGGCAAAACGCACGCATGACACACATATGCATCACCGCCCCCGATCTCCAACAAGCAACCACCTAACCACCCACCTACCACCCACGCCGCCGATGGTTTTAGACATCACAACCAAGCCCAACAACAACACACCCAACCGCATGAGCCGTGGAACGTTTGTTGTTACAATCTTCCGCTTCAAAACTCAAGGACCAAAAGCCGTTAGCCGGTGTATGGATGGTCGATATGAGTCTGTATTGCTGAACTGGAGCCGATATATGTATTTCAGACGGTGCTCTTGCACGCACGCACACACACACACACACACACACACACACACACGACTTCTGTGATGCACGGCGCGTACGATTTCCCAGCGGGAATATACTGCTTAAAAACGGTGAAGAGAGAAAGAGAGAAAGAGAGAGAGAGCGAGAGAGAGAGCAAAGAGGACCTGAGCAAGAACCACCACCTCCACTACAACAAAAACAACTATAAAAGCAATAAAAACAGCAGCAACAAACAGCATAAACAAAAGAAGTTAATCAATTAGAAATAGCCTTCGCAGCCCCGCCCGCCCAATCTCCCCGCTCGCGGCACGCTCAATCTAGCTCCCTATCAGGCCATCATCCAGGGTATCGCACAGCAGCACCACCCAACCCTTACCAAAAAGCAAACCAAACCACCCAAAAAACCAAGCCACCGAACCACCCGCTCCCCCTCATTAACAACAACACCTACACACCCCCAACAGCATCAAAACCAGCATCCACGATGCCCGCATCATCGCACAAAAAGCGCTCCAGCAGGCCCAACTGCACGTTCCCGCCGCCCGCACCCGCCTTCGCTGCCCCGCCCTCAGTGGAGCCACCGCCAACGACTTTCCCCCGGACACCCCCGTCCGCAGCATGCACAAAGCCCTCTCTGAGCAGCAGCCCCAGCCGCCACGCCGGCCGCACTGTCTCCAGAAATGCGTGCCGCGCCTCAGGCGTCGGCGCCAGGGGGTGCGTGAGCGCGAAGAAGCGGTGCCAGAAGAGGGCGTAGAGGCGGGGTGCTGTGGCGTAGGTGCGCCAGCGGGGTTGTTGTGGGGACGAGGTTGGGGTCGAGGAAGGGGGGTGAGGATGAGGTGGTAGAGGAGTGCTCGTGGACGTGGACGCGGAAGTGGTTGTTGACGTGGATGACGCCGTACCGGTGGTAGGGGTGTTGGAGGTTGCAGAGGAAGAAGCCACTGCATTCGAAGGCGCCTCGTTCGGGTTCTCCTCCGTGATACCGATAGGCGCAGAAGTAGAGGCGTTGCCATGGTCGTCATCCCAGAACCCCGTCAGCAGCTGCAGGACATACAGCTCGCAGCCAAACGGCCACACACCCGCGCTAGCCCAGTCGACCACGCCATTAACGTGGAAACTCTCGGGATCGATAATCAAGTTCGAGGCATTGAGATCGCCATGCGTAAGGACCTGGCGCAGCGGGCCGTTCCGCGAAAACAGCGTCCCCAGCGCCGCCAGCAGCCCCGGAATCAGTGCCTTGACGCGGGCAGGCAGCGGCGAGCCCGCCTCCATCCCAACACGCAGCACACGCGCCACCGCGTCGCGCCGATGTGCCAGTGCTTCCTCGTCCGCCTCCTTGATCCCCAGCGTCTCTGCGGGCTGCAGCCACGCCCGTGCAAAGTACGCCCCTAGCTCCTGCGCAAACGTCTCGAGCCGGCCTGCCTCGGTTTCGGACAGCCGTCTCTGCTGACTGAATCGCTGCAGGGGCGTCGCGCCTCCGATCCAGTCCATCGCGTACACTAGCAGGGGCAGCTCTGTCGGGACTCGTCCTAGCTCGCCCTCGAACGTCGTGTAGGGCACTTTAAACCCGTGGACAATGCGTGCTGCGCGTAGCATACGAAGGCTGAGCTTGGAGCCTGCGACGCGGAACTGCACGATACGTGGGTGGGGGTGTCCGTCGCAGGGGGTCGTGGTGGTCGAGGGCAAGGTCGAAGGAGGTTTGTCATCGGCGTAAAGGTAGGAAGAGGAAGACGAAGAAGCTGAAGAGGATGTGGTCGTGTGGTTGGTGTTGCTGTGCTCGTCGTCATCGTCGTCGTTGTAGCAAACGACTGTGTAGCTGTGGCAGCCCTGCGAGGGCGTCGGTACGACTCTCGTCAGCCCCGTGATGTACAAGGCTAGGTCGTCGCATCGGTCGCGCGGCGGGGCACGCGCAGCCGGGCTGAAGAAGGCGCTGAGACGTTCGGCGGCGGCCGTGGCGGCCGAGGTTTGGTGGTGGACGACCTGGTTGCGGGCGGCCTCCATTGCTTGCAAGCGTTGCGTGTCGTGGTGAAAAGACGAAGAAGAAGAAGAAGAAGAAGAAGAAGAAGAAGAAGAAGAAGAAGAAGAAGAAGAAGAAGAAGAAGAAGCAGAATCTGTCGTAGTCGCGAGGAAGGGTTAAAGGAGGAGGCTGCGGATAAAAGGCGTCATGATATCGATATCGGGGAGGCGGAGAGCAGACAATCTCGTTGTTGTGACGGCGTCACCTGTACGTTGCCGGCCACGTTTGCCAGAGGTAGGGAAGGCGCCATAGAGACAGACTTCCGGAGGCTTTTCCGCGTCGTTGCACCTGCCGGCTACACGCGCCATAGCTTCCCATTGCACCGCGACATGCTACAAGCCAACCAGCCCCTCACTGACCGCCCACAACCGGGCCTCCGTCTCCGTGTCCCCCATCGCCCACGGAGCGTAGTCCCTGTCTTTCCTGCCCGACCCGTCTGCCGGTGCGCAGCTCCCCACGCCGCAGTCCTCGCAGTAGAGCTGCCCACAGCCTTCGAGCGCCGCTGCGCATGCTGCCCAAACAGCCGTCGCGGCGCCCTGCTCGGGACTCTTGAACACCTGACGGAAGGCCTCGTACGCAGCAACCTGGTCGGGCGGCAGATGACGGAAGAGACCTGTCATGACGGCACCGGGGTTGACGCTGAGGCCGTGAACGGGATGTGCTGCGTCGGTGCCGAGCCGGCGGTCGAGTTCGTTGGCGTGCAGGATCGAGGCTGTCATGCTGGCGCCATAGGCTGCCCACGCGTCGTACCCACGCTGCTGCCAGCCGAGGTCGCTGAGATCAATCTGCCCGCACGAGTGCGTCAGGTGGCTACGTGAACTGAGGTTGACGACACGCGAGGCGCGGGCAGGTGTCGCGGCGGCTTGCAGCGCGGGAACCAGCAGCGCCGTCAGCAGGAACGGCCCGAGGTAGTTGGTGCCGAGCTGCAGTTCGAAGCCGTCGGCGGTGTGGGCCTCGGGCGTGGCCATGATGCCCGCGTTGTTGACAAGGATGTCAAGCCGGCCGCCAGAGCGCTCGAGCAGCGACGCTGCCGCCGCCCTCACTGATGCCAGCGAGGCCAAGTCCAGTTCCAGCAGCCGAATCTCACCGCGTCCGGGGCTGTGCGACAGGATGTCTGTCTTGGCGGCCTCGCCTTTGGTCGCGTCGCGAACGCCCAGGTACAGTGTCGCGCCGGTGGCATGCAGTGCGCGTGCCGTCTCGAGACCGAGGCCAGCGCTGGCACCTGTGACGAGAATATTGCGCTCCGGCCAAGCGTTGATGAGCTTCCCATCCCGGATGACGTGCATGGCTGAAGGGCGCATGTCTCCGGGGCCGTCGAGGGTGGCATGGAGGACGGCGTAGGGGTTGAGAGGTGTGTTGACGACTGGTGCAGACATTCTGGCGACAGGTGGAAGAAATTTTGCTGAGTTGAAGAATTGCACTTGGCAAACAGAAAAGAGGAAGCCGTGAGACGAACAAAAAAAAAACCCCCCTTCTTTCAAACAGTAAGAGACGACTGACGGTGGGGTATCAAAAACTCGTAGCAAACCAACAAACAACGAACAAAGCAAGAACGTCAGTCAGTCCGAAACAGCGTCGTGGGAGGGAAAAATAAGAAGCTAGAAACGTCTGTATCGAGAAATATTAGGACTCTTTAAAGCCGCAGCACGCGCCTCGTACGAGGAGTCGACACGGCCCAGCACGCAGCATCAAAAAGCAAAGCAATGTGCATCGGCTCGGCCCCCTTCCGCCCCCAGCAAGACTTGTTAACCTACTCTCGACGGGCGCTCCGTGCCGCGCGCATATTGTATACCGTAGGGCTGCGAGACGAAGACGGTAGTGGGCCGCTAGACGCCGGGAGCTGACCCGAAACAGGCAAACGGTTCGATTCTCAGCTGACACTGCGGCGAGGGCTCGCAGCGGGCCGGGCTCAGCTACAGTATAGGGTAGCTACAGCAGGTACCGGGCGGGCGGGCCGTGCCTCGCCTTGTCTGTCCATCGCATTTTGGCTCGTTCTTGGGGCGGGTTGGTGCGCGGTGGTTGGGGTCGATGTTGGGTTGTGTGTGGGCGTGTGTGTGGGGTGAGTTGCTTCCCGTTCGTTGGTTGGCGAGCCGGCGCGTCGGGGCGCCGGCTTACCGCGCTGCCGGGTAGTGCTGCTGCGGCATGGGCCTTGTGGATCTGCAGCCCCCAGCCAGCCTCACACCATCACCCTTCTGCAGGGTGCTCCGGCTGGCTGCGCGGCCGATTAAGATGCGCGCCTGCTCACGAGACGTTTGTCTATTTGAGGATGATCTTAATCCTATGTGGGATTTGCTGATTTCCTGCATGGTCGGGTCTTGGTCTAGCGTTGGCCAGATCATTCCTTAATCCATACACGATTCAGTTGTCTAGACCTGTCTTGGAAGCATCTCCCATGTGAAATTCACTCGTTTCGAGCTGCCCTGGGGCATTGGCCATGTCTTGGGGAGGACGATCGTTCAGTGCGTTATAATAGACTATTACGCCACAGTCAGTAGGTACTATATAACTATATAGACGTAAAAGGATACAGATGTAACAGTAAAATTATAATAAAGTATTAAAGTGTTCAAGAAGGGTACTCATAACGGTATAAGAACAAAACTACCTAAAGGTAGAAAGTACATCATTTAACTTTATAGGCATGTTATTCCGTGGGGTGGACAAATTATCCGAGGTCCTGATTTAAGGTTCGCGGAAGAGCTGTTTGCGATGCACTGTCTTTGTTTCGGGCACTGGAAGTACAAATAGTTGAAAAAGTAGCTTGTCTGCATGCACTGCGCCTTGATTACTGCGCAAACAGTAAGTCAAAAGCACCAACTGAACGTTGTGTCACTTCACCGTGGTGGCTGTACTCCATGCTCAGAACGCACACTTCCACGACAATGGAGATTGGAGAGGTCGTATTGTAGCGCCATGAGTGAACATTATCACACATCAGCGCTGCCGCCGAGCACTGATGTTTCTTCTTGATATTCTTCATGTTTCGGGACTCGCTGTTGATGTTGTGGAGAGGGATTCATCCCACAGTAGAGAGGGATCCCGTCCGTGTGTTTGTTAAAGCGATTCGGCGGGTAGCTGGTCTCGCTCTTTGCTGTGTCACTGAAGACGCTCGTCCGAAAACCCTGCTGTGTTGATATACTGTATACCTAAGCCAAACCACGACTCCTGGCCACTGTGTGGGGCTTCTGACGGCTACTACTGCTGCGTCTCGGGTCCTCTCCTTGCTGCCACAATGCGAAATCGTTGCTAACCGAGGACTAAAAGCGTAACTGGAGCCATTGTTAGTTTAAATAGGCGAAATTTAGTGAAGAGTTAGATCACAGACACATTTCACACTGGAACAAGAGAACAGCTACTATCTAACGCCATTCCATACAATCCCGAACCACAAAAAA